AGCCTCCACCTCCCGAGTTGAAGCGATTCTTCTGCTTTGGCCTCCCAAGTATTACAGGCACCTGCTACTATGCCCTGCTAATTTTTGTATTTTTAGTAGAGATGGGGTTTCACCATGTTGGCCAGGTTGGTCTCGAACTCCCATCAAGTGATCCACCCGCCTTGGCCTCCCAAAGTGCTGGGATTACAGGCATGAGCCACCACAGGCGGCCATTTTTTTTTTTTTTTTTTGAGACAGTCTCACTCTGTGGCCCAGGCTGGAGTGCAGTGGCAGGATCTTGGCTCACTGCAACCTCCGTCTGCCTCCCAGGTTCAAACGATTCTCTTGCTCAGCCTCCCGAGTAGCTGGGATTACAGGCGCACACCACCACACCTAATTTTTGTGTTTTTAGTAGAGATGGGGTTTCACCATGTTGGCCAGGCTGGTCTCGAATTCCTGGCCTCAAGTGATCTGCCCGAAGAGGCTTGATTCTTGGTGGACCACCACCTTGGGGGCGCCTTTCCTGCCTCCTGTGCCTCCAGTCCCTCTACCTGTGACCCCCATCCCCAGGAAAGACAACGGACACCAAGGCTGCCGCACATCGGGTCGTTTGTTTACTGGGTCAGGTTGGAACCCTTAGAGCCAAGGCTCCTGAGTCTCCAGGACGGTCCTGTATGGGCTTCAGAGAGAGCCAGCGCCACACACTGGCCTCTGACCCACAGCTGCCCGGAGGGGATCGGGCAGCAGGTTATGGCGATAGGATTCAGGTTGGACGGGAGCACCTTCTGTGACATGCAGTAACTGACCCTTTCCGGGTCACTGCCGTCCAGTTGCCGCTGTCCGGTCACCATCAGCCATTGGCCGTCCACCTGCACCACCAGCTCCTCCGGGGCGAAGCCGTGGGCATCCATCTTCATTTGGAAACCGTCTCTGGCATGATCATTGTCCTCCTGCGCTGGCGGACTCTCCCTGAGCAGCCGCATCGGCATTGTGGCTACCTGGTTCCGTTCAGCGAGGCCCACGCTGGGACACCGGGATGCCACCCGGCTCTCGGAGAAGGTGTTACCGATCGGCTGCATCTGAGTCAGCAACTAACTGCTGTCCAAGGGCGCAAGGCTCCGAGCGCAGAGCTAGGCGCGCGGACGCCCGGAGAGGGGCCTCCTGTGGCCTAGCCCAGCTCAGCTCCGCTCGCTCGGTTCCCTTCGCTTCTGCAAACGCAGGCGGAGTTCGGAATCAGTCACGCCCATCTTACCTCCAAGAGCCAGACTGTCACCGCCCTGGCGCGCCCGCAGCTACTCTCATCCTAGACCCTGACCCTTTCTCCGCCCTTCCCCACCTTCGTTAATGGGCCCCGGGGAGGCCGCAGCTGTGAAGGAACTGGATCCTCGACCAGGCCAGACCCGAGGGAGCCGGACTGCGGCGCAGCCAACAGCAGATTGATCCCCCAGCTGGAAGGGGGCTGTCTTGCCTTCTAAGGACCAGGCCTGGGGCAAGGATTGTTCCCAGAGTCAGGGGAGGGCGGCCTTTCTGGGTCATCCACCCTACCTCTCCCTGACCACCCACAACCCCACGCGGACACGCGAGACGAGGAGGCGGACTGGTCTCTCCGGCTGCATTAATTCATCCACCCCCCGGGGTCTCCTGTGATGCAGGCTGTGGTCTGGGTTCGGGCCACAAAGATGAAGATGCAGTCGGGGCTTTACGAGAGCGGCTCCCAGTGCACAGAGAAAGGCTTAGCCCTCCCCTGCCTCACCCTCCACAGTAGCCTTCTTGGTGACCATCGTAACCACAGCTATGCCTCTTGTGCTGTTAATTGATTTTTTTTTTTTTTT